CCACATCATCCAAATTCGATCCCATTTCACAGTTGTTTGTCATCATGTTCTGCTCCCGTCGTCATCAGAGTCAGCCCAAACCGAGCGCATACATAAAACCGTTCCGCATAGTGTTCCGTTGCGACAGATGGAATTTTTCAATTGGATCCGTTACCCTCTCGCTTTCGGTTTCGAGGCAGCCCTTTTTTTCCGGGGTCTCTCGATCAGCTGGTGTTTGTGTGAAGCTGTTCTAAAGCGATCATGAAACATGCAACAGCCGTTCGGGCGATTAATTGCACACTGCACGGGTTCGACCTAGTCTATCTCGGGGTGTGTTCTTGGAAAAATAAAAACTGCACACCGATTGCAACGCAAACTTCGGTACCTTCATGTAAACGTACGCACTGACGACAATGACGGCGACGGCAATGTCAATTAAAGTGACGTGATAAGTGGATGTTGTGTCAACCGTACCCCACCCTTCCGAGCGGGCGACGGCGACGACTTCGGTGGAAGCAAAGCTCTGCCAAATGATAAATCACATGTTTTGAAAAATGAATTCCCTACACACTTTTCTGCGGAAAGTGGCGGGCGTGGTCTTGAAAACCGAAGCAAATATTGATTCCTTACAGTGGCATAAAATCCTTCTTTGGGACGCTCTGCTGACTGTCGGGTTTCCAATTATCCTCGGAGGACATCAATCAAATCAACAAGCAGTTCAGAGTTCAGCAAAGATGCACCGGCAGCAACAATGTGACAGACCCTAGATCCATTACTTGTAACACAAACATTTGGAGAGCGAGCGAGTGAGCGAGGAAGTTGCTAAACCTTTAGTCAGATGTAGGTTTTGAGCATAAGCGTAGTTATTAGGGTCAGGGGTTGGGAAATGACATGCCTCAATAATAAATAATTAAGAGAAATCGTCAAAGTCAATGCACATCAACCGTTGCGTTGCATTGCACAGTGTTGCTTTTTGCCGTTTCCGTGCGCTTTTTTAATAGCTTCTCAAACATTGATTTTAGGGGTATAGTTTGTTCAAAGATGTTTTTGAATATGTTAATCCGCTTCTTTTAATGTAGACGATTTGGTAATTAGTCCACCTAAAAGTGAGATCAAAAAATATTTTTTTTATCTTATTCAGATAGAGACTTAACGTCTGCAAAAAAGTTGTAGCAAATATTATTTTAAGCAACTTTGCTCAACACTCAAAATTACTAACTCTTATAAATTGCGAGATATGTATCATTTTTCGTGAATGGTCCATTTAAATCATGTTTTTTAGTATAACTGATTTTCTAGGCATCCTACAATTTTGGTTTCTTCTACAACTATATTTTACATGTTTAAAAACCATGCTTTTGCTGAACACTGTAACTAATTAGCTCTTGAAACAAAAAAGTTGTTCTTAAATAATCGATATTTTTAGGGATATCCCAAGTAACCAAAAGTTCCGCATTCAACGGTTAAAATCACTTCCAAGTTCCATAAAGTTCAAATAAAGTTCCAACCGAACCTTCAAGTTCCATAAAGTTCAAATAAAGTTCCGTCAGAACTTTCAAGTTCCATAAAGTTCAAATACAGTTCCAACAGAACTTTCAAGTTCCATAAAGTTCCAATAAAGTTCCGACAGAACTTTCAAGTTCCATAAAGTTCGAATAAAGTTCTGACAGAACTTTCAAGCCACATGAAGCCATCCGCACAAGTCTTTATTAGTAACAAAATTTAATGTACGTAAATATGAAATGATCAGTGGCCCGTGTTCTCGATAGCCAGAACAAACACCGTCTTTTAGTTGCAAACTTAGCAGCTTCAAAGCTGTAATTTAATTGTTAACATTAGTGATGATACAAAGGTAAGTATAATACAATAATCTTACATTTTCAGTGTTCTTCTTCTTTTGCCAGGTCACCGTCTACCACGGATGGACAATTCCGACACGATCTATAACCAACGGTAGGTATTTAGGTCCATTTTAGGTTAGGCGACAAGCAAGGTAAGTACTATTATTCTAATTTTAGGAACAACATACCTCAATTCTAATGAATGATCCACTTACTACGTGGAAAACCGCGAAATTATAAATACAAATCGAACTGTAACTACAATAAACGTTTTAAATCACAATTCTTCAATTATTAATCGCTAAACTTACAAGCTATTTCACCTCACTAGAATTCACTTCTTTATTTTTCCTCACAAAGAAACCAAAACAAACTTCTACAACTATATGCGTTTCTTTACATTCGATCTGTCATTCGCTTCGCCCGGCACTGGCGTTTCGCTCGCGAGGGTTCGGTCAGTTGGTTCACCCACAATTCGCCGCGTCGAGGGGTATCGGCGACAGCCCGAATAAATCACAATTCTTATATTTATGCAACATATAAAAAAATAAAAAGTAACTTCCTGGATTTGAACCCGTGTATTCGGCATGCGATCTACGATTGCTAAACACTGCACCACAAGTGTGATGGAATACCACGAGGGAAAACACCAATTTAAAATTCATCAAGGTGTTGTGTTTTGTATTCAAGTTAGTCAGCTGGCACTGAAAACTCCAACAGTAGGCGGGACAACAGCTCACTTTATTATATCTCAGATGACGCAGCGGTTCGTGCTGGGGCTCTCGCGCAGAAGGACTGGGTTTAATTCTTCAAACAGCTCCAATTCTACTACTAATGCTGATAAATCAATACATCTTAATATTTGCCTTTAGAAATTACCTTTCATAAAAATACGAACTAAATATAGAATTGGTGTAAAGGACAAAAACCTTTCTTAATTTATTTTCTAAAAGTTCCGCCCAAGTTCCGCCAGAGGCTGCCTAGAATGCTCTTCAATTATGGTACCGGAACTTTCAAGTTCTTATAACGACTTAAAAATTAGGCTGCTTAAAATTCTATAGACCACCTCCAACCAAGCTGCTTAAGCCATAAATAGCCTTTTATCAGAACTTTTGGTTACTTGGGATTTGCTCCTCAAATAACTATCTCCGGCGCAAATTGGCGCACAATTCTAGGAAGGATTCTGAATCTTCACTTATTTTACTGCCGAAAAGTTATAAAAACGTGTGGCAGCACGCGATCTTTTAGGTGTTTTTTAATAACTAAAAAACTCCTGCAAATGTCTTATTTTTTAATACATATATTAATTTTAAGAGATAGCATGTTACAATGTTCGGCAAAAATATGTATTTTTGTACGGCAAACAACTTTGTACACTATGTTAAATATATTGAAAATCCACGAAAAAAGCTACACTTAAAACAATTATTTGAAAGAGTATACTCTCTGATTTTTCTTTTCAGAATCACTGATTCTGGTTGCTCGCGAAGGTGTTGTTTGAGTAGCCTCTTTAATAATTTCTGTCTTATCCTTTTGCTTTGCTTCTCGAAGCTCGAAAATTGTATATGGGGTACATGCCCCTAACCTCGGTCTAATATGAAGCCTTCAATTACATTTTATATCATATCTTGTTTAATAATTGATCTGCAAACAATATTTTACTGGCAAAACGCAAGTATAGGTATTCTTATTATTTCATTTCACATTCATTTTCATTTTCATTTTGCAGCGTTTGGTGGGGCAATGGGAGCGCAACCCTAGCAGCACACTTGTCATTTAACTGTTGTGGTTACTTGTATGCACCTTATTTCAGTCACAGTCAAGTTGCAGCAACCTATTTTGATGGATGTGTGTTGCTTGGGAAGTCAATCCAAAGCCGAGGGTAGAGACTGAATAGTCTATGCGGACCACTTGAACGCCGTGGGAAAAGGAAGGGATTGAAGAGGTCGATTATTGGGGGGTTTTGAGGAAATGACACATAGCACTAGATTACTGATTCATCCCTTCACATATATACCAAATTGATATTTTAAAGCAACCATAAAAAAAAAAACAGACAATAAATGAAAAGGTTAGTTGCCTCCCTAAGCGGACCCCCCACATCCTTACTCTTTTGTTAATCTACTTAATGTTATTAGGCTGTCTAAATTTTCTTATTTATGTTCGTTTGATGAATATGATATCTCATTAGCCTAATTCAATAAAAAATTGAAATCTCTAATCTACCTTACAAATTTTGGTTTTATGAGGTTTCTGTAGACCATGATTTAGACTTGTAGCATGCTTTAAAACCACTATAAAACTTGCAATGAAGTACCTCCACTTGTGCATGTTATCTAAAGTTTAACGTGTTTCAAGTTGGTTTTTGACTTTGACTTATATTTATTATATATTAGTTCGTCCCAGGTGATACCTTCAAGTGACTAAAATGCTTCACTTTGTTGTTAGTTTCCTAGCTGGTTCTTAAATTATATAGGGTATATGCTCCAACCACGCTCACACATCCCACAAAATTACGTATGGATATGTCACAATAGAAGCACGCCACAGTGGAAATCATTTCATACATTTATCCCAAATCAAAATGAAGCACGTATAAGATTTGTTACAATACCATGTACAAAAATGGTGTTTAACAGTGTTCCCTGAGTAATGCTCCAATGAAAACAACAATGAAAGCTTGTCACGCAAGTAGAAGGAGCACTGTTGGACACATTCTGAAATATTTCAATGGTACTATTCTCGTGAAAACTGTGTAAAAATAAATAAAATAAGAGTGATTTGCGGAAAAACCCGCCAGCATCGCACCCAACGTCAGTGCCTATACGTAAGCGTACTACGACGCGGCTCTCAAACAAAGGAATAACAGGTGTGATACTATCACTGCTAGACTAGATCTTTGCTTTTCTCATGCAGTGGTTCATCAGAGAGGGGAAGCTCAATAATTCTCATCGCATGCGGCATGTGGCGTAACAAGGCGAAATGGCGCCCATGGCAATTACTGAGATCGCGCCCCCCCCCCCCCCCCTCCCATGAAAATGTACTGAATCATTGAAGTATCAACCGATTATCTTTAACCTATAAAAATAAGTATAACCACAAAATAAATCACATTGTATATTTTCAATCATGTATATTAACAATCATGTACATTAGAAGAAACTGACGTCTGCGTCCGTTCTAAACGTGTATCTTCCTCGCCTTCGCTGCGGCAAAAGCATCGATAATGGAGTTAAAATCAATCTTCTCGACCTCTTCCCGTTCAACACTCAGCAAAGCAAGGTCGCTCAACCGATCCTGTCCCATGGAGGCTCGAAGATAGTTTAAAATCAATTTTAATTTGCTGAAAGATCCTTCGCAGCTCGCAATCGAAACAGCAATCGTTAATAAGATCTGAATGGCGATTCGAAGATTCGGGAACACGCTCTCATCTCCGTATTGCACGATGAACAGCAGAACATCTTCAGGTCGTGTTAGTTTGACGTTCGTCCTCGTACTGATCATCATTCTGAAGTCCAAAATCTCCTCGTACAGCTGCTCACCATCAACATCACGGTTGTAAGTCTGGCCGAAGTTCTCGCACTTTGTCTTCAAGATGTCTCTGCTGATACCGGTACATAATCCCTCGACGTCGAGAAGAAAGCCAAACTTCGCATCAGTGTCGTGCAAACGAGTGAATCTGTCGTCCATCTCGGTGTGCAGGCGGTCGATCGTCTCCTTCATAGCTCGTTCGATTTCCTGCGTTGTTTTCAATCCAGCATCTTTAGATGTTTCGCCAGCCATTGTCTTCTTTCGTCTTGGTCGCCTTTCCGTCTCAACCTCCCACTCTTGACAGAGATTAAGCCCAACCTCCAGAGCTTTACTCACTAGTCTTTCCCTCTCGTTGTAGAAATGATCTCGTAGGCTTTCCAGGTCTAACGCGGCATCGTGGAAGTTCATCGCCGGATCTTGCAACCTTTTCTGGACTCGGTCGATCGGGAGAAGCACGTTGGTCCAAAATCCAAGTAGGGTCAAAAATTCAGGAGTCAACATCCGGTTGTAGAGCTGCCTCGCTTCGCTCCGTGTGTCTGTGGTCTCCGTGGCACCATCCATCATGGCTTGAAGGACTTGGAGTATCTTGTCGAGGTGGTTGTTGATGGGCTTCACCGCTTCCACCCTCTGGTTGTTGACTCCGATTTCACAACTTTAGGAACAGCAATCTTGAGTTTTTCCCAGCGCTGAGTCGAGGAGGAAAAGAATACGTAGAGAGCTTGAATGGTCCCAAAAAAGTCACCATCATAACGTCCTGTTTGGCAGCGTTGACACCAATCAAGTTGAGTGAGTGATTGTCACAGTTCACGAAAACTGCCAGGTGATTCTTCTCGATGATCCTTTGTTGAACACCACTTTTGTGTCCCGCCATCACAGCAGCGTTGTCGTAGCACTGCGACCGGCAATCCTGGAGGTCCATACCGTCTTTCTCCAACTGGCTCAAAATGGTCCCAACTAAGCTCTCAGCGTCTTTCAGGTTGATCTGGATGAATCCTAGAAAAGATTCTGCAACACGTACCGTTTTCTTTGTAAAATCCACGTCCACATATCTAACTACTTCTGAAACTTGCTCACGGTGTGCTTGATCAGGGGTCGAATCAAACATGATACCAAAATATTTCGCTTGACGGATCGTTTCGAGCATATTTTCGCGAACAGTAGACGCCATCAAATGGATAAACTCGTTCTGTGTGGCTGCCGATCCGGGACGATTTTTGGCATTTTTGAGGTGCGCTTGCATGACAGGGTCGAAGGCGGCGAGAAGTTTCAGGAGTCTAAGAAAATTCCCGACGTTGGAGGCGTCGTCCGACTGGAGGGATTCTCGGTGTCCTCGCAGAGCCAGGTTTTGCGTCGCAAGAAACTTGATGCAGTGAATAAGTCGTTCCAGGATGTCTCGCCATTTTTGTTTCTCCACATCAATCTCTGACTGCAGCTCCACATCGATCAATCCTTTGTTCTCGGCCAAAGTCCGTTCCATTTGTTTCCATTGAGTGAAGAATTCACGATGATTCTTCGACATTTCATGAACAGTCATGCGCTCAGGTGCTTTCCAATGATTGAATCCGCATTCCTGCTCCAAACTCGACTGAGGGTTTGATCGAGAAAAGAGCAAACAGCAGATGCAGAAAGCTGATTGCTTTGCTGGAGAATAAACTAGCCAGTACCGAGTCACCTTCTCCCCGTTCGCCAGTGTCCTTTTGAACCAGGATTTGTTCATCGACCGGTTGTTTGTTGGTGCAAACGGCCCCTCGTCGTTCTGGAAATAGGTGGAACCCAACTGGACTATTTCCACTCTCAGAGAATCAGCAACCTTGACTTTTCCGGCAGCACCGTGGAATTCCAGAAGTCCAATGTCGTGTCTATTGATGACATTTGGAATGACGGGTCCCCTGGGATCTTGAGCAGCGTCGCCAGCATCTCCAACCGTGGAACTGGCAGTGTCCGGTTCAGCGTGATCTTCAGTGGTTTCGGTGGACCTGTCTGATGTTTGGTCTTCCGGCTCCATCTCTGATGCATTAGAGTTCAAAGCAGCCAAACTTGACGACGATGAAAGGGGATCTGTAGGAGCGGGCTTTCCGAAAAAACTCTTCAGAAGCTGACTTGACTTTTTGGCTTCCTCTGTCTCCAACTTGCGCCTTTTCCGCCCCTCCGCACCAGACTCCTTTTTCTTTACAAGCGTACGTTTCATCGCCGTTTTCTATACGCTCTATAATATGCATATGTTTTTGATTAGACGAATAATTTTCAAACCTGACATTCACGAACTACGACCCTTATTATTCTTACCTCACAATTAACTAAGTTTTAGGTTGACTAAGAGTTATTGGCGTTCTTGTCGAGTGCAGATGACAATCTGAAGCAAAAGTAACAGCGTTAGTGATACAACGAGGATATTACGGAAGTAGAATTTTTATTGAGGACTGTTGGACGTTACTGTACACAACGTTTTAAAACGTTAGATAAGATAAGTTTAAAAACGTTTTCAAAACGTTCAAACCGTTTAAATACAATGTGAACAAATCAAAATGTTTGATTTTCAAGTTCATAAAACTTTTTCAACACGTTTATGTAAAACATTCTCATATCGTTATTGACTATCGTTCGACTACATTTTAAACGTAGTTGAAACGATTTAAAAACGTTAGTGAGACATTCTTCTCACATATATGGTATTTCATTATCACGATATTACCCAAACATAAATACTTACTTGCAGACATTAATTAACAAACATACTTCATGATCAATTGCTTACCTCGGAGCTGAAAAGCACGACGACGAAAATATGCATTGGTAATGCTTCTGAACAATCTGGGCGCAAAAGTAAACAGAGTTTCTCTGCTGTTTTTATTGAAGCGACATCTACATGAGAGGTCGGTATGGTAGAAGCCTTTCGTTCACTGCTTACCCCCAGTTACGACTGCTGGTATCAACCGCGATGCGGGAGATTTCAAACCGCTTATAAGAATAGGATCACAAATCTCGTTAGCTTACGCGCTTGCAGCGCATTGCGGACTGTCAATTTACAGTCATAATTATCAGCATGTTAATATTTATGAGAACAGTCGATGGAATACTGAAAAAATGAGTTAGTTTTTTTCGCGATAATTTTTTATGACTTTACAAACTAAATATCCGCCGATCAGCGATCCCGGCGGGGGAGCAATCCGCCCAAACGAACCTTTCCGCAACGTCGGGCGCCGCTCATTCGCATCGGGCGCACTTTTCGTTTTCCGTGGGCGCGCTACGCGCCCAAATGTCATTCGCCGCGGCGCCCCCTCGACTGCGAAAATTTCTAGATATCATTAGAGTGGGTTTTTTTGTGATCGCTTTTTGCGCCCAAAATGGTTTTGTACCCAAAAAATTTCCGCAGCCAAGGGGGCGCCGCGGCTCCCCCTCGACTGCGGTGCCCTGTCTGCCCTACCCTAGTTACGCCACCCTAGCCTATTCTGCCATGGCATGAGCCAACGATGCCGGACCTAAACCAACCGTCTCCAACGCTCCACTATGAAGCATAAGATTAGGCCCACCCACCAACGTCCAGGTTAAAAACTAGCCAAGGGGAGGGAAATTTAGATATTCTTATTATTTGTATTTTAATTGAACACGACCTAAAATTGTAAAACTCACTATTTCAACATGAAAACTATCTAGGTACGTGGATGTAATGTCGGTCTACTATACTCAAATTAGGTTAATGGATGCAACTTCGTTCTATCGAAGATGAACCTCGATCTACAAAGGTCTGGCATGTGATATCGCGCTTCTATTTCACTCCTTATCAGGCATGGAAAATCATTTGCATTAATTTCGAACATTCATTTACATTCATTTGCCCCTAACTTTTTTCATCAACAGAATTCCGCAAAATGGTGCATGAAACTTTTGTAGGTTTTTTTACTAGCTACAACTTTTTTTAACAACTTAAATCCGTATCTCTTATGTATGACGAACCAGAGCGAACAGAAGCCACTACTGTTTTTCAGTGAATGTATTTTACATTCACTGAAAAACAGTAACAAGTTCTGCCCGCTCTAATTCGTGATGCATAGGAGATACATTGATGCGTATCATTTTTGCATAAGCCCTTTTCCCCTATTCAAGCGTTAGTCGTGTACAAAACTAGGGAACCAAATATGTAAAATGACATGTTGGACAATAACAAACAACTGTGCAAAGTTTCAACATAATCGTAGAAGGTCGATCAAAAAATTTAAAAAAATTCGTCATTTAAAATGGAACTGCTGTATTGCCAATAGTTTCGGAATTACGGAAGCTGCATTGCGCCAAAGACTGAAGAAGATAAATTTATCCAAGTTGTTAACGGCAAATCGTAGTTTAATTTGTTGTGTTTCCTTTTTAAGGCTACGGTGCGCGGTTTAGATCAATCTTTACCGAAGAGCAAGAAAAAGAACTAGCGGGACATTGCAAGAATCTCGATGACTCCTTCTACGGATTATCGCTGATGGATCTCCGAAGAGCAGTTTTTCAGTACGCCGAGGCAAACAAGGTCGCACATCGATTTCATCCGGAATCCAAGATAGCTGGTAAAAAATGGACGCTTTCTTTCATGCGTAGACACACCTTGTCGCTGCGAACTCCCCAACAAACCAGTCTTGCTACACAGTTCGAAAAAATAGTGTAAATTTCTGTTCAATACGATGCACATAAATGGAGCGTCACATATCATATAAGTTTACATTATAAGTCGTGTAATGTTCTGGGACATTTGATTAAATGATTCAATTATTGTATACAAATGCCCATCTTTGCAAACAACAGTGCTTACAAATTACTCGTTTGCGTGAAATAAAATACAAGTTTACGTGAATGTATCTTTACATCACAATTAAAATTCAGATTATTTTGCTGTATAGGATGATGGGTTTCAACCGGGTGCAGATTAACAATGTTTTCAACAACCTAAGCGATGTGACAACAAAGTATTGGTTTATACCAGATCGGATCTACAATATGGATGAAACAGGAATGTTCACAGTGTCCAACAATGTCCCGAAAGTCGTATCTACATCCGGAAAGAAAGCGGTTGGGAAAATAAGCTCGGCTGAGAGAGGAGAGCTGATCACAGCGGTATGCGCGATGCGTGCTGTTGGGAATTACTTGCCACCGGTCCTGATTTTCAAGAGAAAGCGCCAAAAGCCGGAGCTACTCAACGGGGCACCTCCAGGAACGGAAATGTTCGTCGCTGATTCAGGATACATAAACTCGGATCTTTTCTTCCAATGGACACAGCATTTTCAGAAACTCACCAACGCAACAAAGAGAACCCGGTTATGCTCATTTTGGACAATCACAGCACGCATCAATCGTTGGAAACAGTTCTCTACTGTCGAGAAAATGGGATTATGTTGCTGTCTATCCCACCACACAGTAGCCACAAAGTCCAACCGTTGGATCGTTGTTTCTTTCAGGCCCTTAAGACCAAATATGCTGAAGCTTGTAATCATTGGCTTGTGTCTCATCCTGGAAGGGTCATTACCCAATATCAAGTGGCTGAACTGTTTGGGATGGCTTACTGCACATGTGCAACAATTGAAAAAGCCATCAACGCTTTCAGCATGTGTGGCATTGTACCTATCAACCCTGGAGTGTTTACACACCAAGATTTTGCCCCAAGTGAAGTGACAAATCTTCAGCAATCGAAAGAAAACGTTGAGCCGGAAGCCACAACCTCCGTCTGTACAGATGCAACGGAGCTTCCCTTACCTCAAATTATGAGAAGAGATCTGTAAAACGAAATACCGCTTCGAAAATCGATAATCAGCCATCAAGCATTAAATCGAATGTGACACTTCCGCAGATATCTGTTTCTTCTACAATGCCCAATATAAAATCCACCTAGACCGATTTGACATCCTCCTGCGCTTCCAACCAACATGCTGAGGGCAGTGAGAGATTGAAGCCGCTCCTGGTTTCCCTTCGAAACGTCCTGGAATCTCTAGAAACAGTGTGCTCAGAGAATTGCTCAACGTCGATCATACCAATGTGCACCAAGTCATCCGATCCGGTTTCCTTTGCTGAAATCAGGCCCCTGCCGAAACGAGTGGAGCCACAACAAAGACGGAAGAGAGGTCAACGATCCGAAGTTATTACCAGTACACCATTCAAGGAAAAATTGGAACTGAAGGCTAAGGCCGTTCGCAATGCTGTTGTATTTTATAAGGACTGTTTCAATTAACCACTTCATTCGAGCAGACAAAATGACGTTTACTACCACTCGAACTTTGAAATGAAACATTATTTTGATATTTTTTCTTCTAGAACCTCGAAGAAAGTAGCCAACATTTGTGCGTTTCATAAAAACATAGAAATTAGTTGGTCCAGTTTTGTGAAATCGCTGGTAGAAAGTCACGCCAAAACTGCTTGACAAAGTGGTCAATTTGAAACTAGAACAGAGTACTATTTTGCACCAGATTTACAACTGCTCGACTTTTCTGTTTTATTTCTGAGCGAGTTTGAAACACGAATGGATCTCTGTTTCAAATTTCTTTGGATGTATTTAAAGATGTTTCAAAGAGCTTCACAAAAAAACGGAGAACTTCATAGAGAATAGTAAAGTTTATGGAACATGATGATTACAAACATCTTTTAGAACTGTGCGTTGCGCTGATCGTGTTGCAGTTTTATTTTTGACAGTTTCAAATTATAGAATTGTCGAGAAGTTTAAAACAATTTTGAAACTCAGCATTGCGAACGGCCTAAGGAGCAAGGACAGAAACTGTCAAGCACATCCAGTAAACGCAAGAAAATTTTCATCGAAGCACAGCCTACTAAGAAGAGAGTTAAGATTGAGAAACAAAGAAAGTTGTACCATGCATAACTGATGTAATTTGAAAGGTCGAATTTTTGCCCCACGACATACAAACTTTTGCCCCATCGAGGGCTTTTATGAAATAATATTTTTAACACCGAAATGGTTACTTGAATGAGCCTGTATTTTCTCAGTAGGGAGATTAAAAGTTGCTTAATAAAGCAGCATACTTT